AATAATAATAACAATAATAGTAATAGTAGTAGCAGGAGCAGTCGTAGTAGTGGTAGTAGTAGTAGTAGTAGCAGCAGTAGTAATAGTAGCAGCAGCAGCAGTAGTAGTAGTAGCAGCAGTAGCAGCAGCCGCAACTGAGGGGAGGAGTCCACCAACGGGATTTGAGTAAATTGGGTAGGGGCCTGCAAGAAAGCAGAATGTCAGAAAATTGGGCGAGGAAAGCACTCCCGCAGCAGGCTTTGATCAAATTGGGCAGGGCTTGCAAGACTATAAGGGCGGAATTTCCGTGCAATCGAGGACAGCGAAGACCGGGATTTGAGATCTCAGTACTTGGCCCGTCAAGGGAGGAGTTCAGCAGCCGGATCTGAGTAAATTGGGGAGTGCTTGCAATCAGGGATTTCAGTTAATAGGGTTAGAGGAGGAGTGCAGTAGCGGAGCGGAATTTTCATCAAATTAGGGGCATCATATTATGCGGCATCTGAGAGCTTTCACAGGTCGTCGTGCTGTACTACTACTACTGCTACTACTACTACTACTGCTACTACTACTACTACTAGGAAACCTGGGTTTGGTGGGGTAGTTCGGGTGTTGGGGTGGGCGGGAGGCGCCTCACCCCTATCCCACCATGCACACACACTGGCTTGGGAAATTGTGGCTGCAAGAGCGGGTTTTTGCTAAATTTGGGTTAGGAGCTCATCGGAAGATTTCTGATTTGAATAAACTTGCCAGGGCTTTCAAGAACTCCTGGTTTGTGGGGCAGGGGTTACAAGAGCAGGACTTGATCAAATTCGGGCCAGGGAAGAAATCCAGGAGTGGGATTTGATTAAATTGGGGCTTGGAAGACAAGAACGGGATAACGTGGGGAAAGGGGAGGCGTCCAGATGACCGCAAAAGCGGAGCTAATTAAATCGGGGCCAGGGGAGGAGTCCAAGCTTGATGAAATTGGGCAGCGTTTGGAGGACTAGAGCGGGATAGTACCTTTTCAAAATCGTCACGAGAAGGTCATGATAACAATTGAGTTGCTTCAAGTGGGCACGTTTGGAAGACTGCGAAAACGGGATTGCTAAAGGAAGGTCCTGAAGACCAAAAGAGTGGGATTGGATTACATTTTGTAATAGGTAGTGCTGGAAAGACTGCAAGACCCAGATTTGATTGAATTTAGGCAGGGAAGGAGTCCAGGGGCGAGATTTGACGCAATTTGGCAGGGCTCGGAGGAGTGCAGGAGCGAGATTTGATCAAACCTCACGTAGAACGCAGAGGAAAACACCAGAATAATCAAGAGAAAAAACATGCACATCTTTAGCAATTATGAATCACTGTCGCGACCTGCTGTTCAAAAACACTCTGCTACTTGTAGCACCCGCATGCCGCCCAAATGCTTGCGTGCAGGCTTGTTTGACTGCGGCCGTGCTTCTTTGTTTAAGAACATGCTCTCGTGTCACGGCCCTTGAAGGCTAACAAGCCGCCGTAAATGGATTGAAGTGCAGTGAGCTGGGAACTTTGCAATGATGATCGCGCCGATATTTGTCCATGTAGTCTATGTTTGTATTGTGAGCCCATTGCCTGTGGCTTGGGATTTGGCCTCTGAAGCACATGGGTGCCCGCAGTGCCATAAAATGCAGACAAGTAGGCAAGTCAAACTTGCCAAGCGGCCAGAGTAAGAGCTGCCCCACCCAGCAGGGCCTTGGTACACGTGGTCATCTGAACAAGCCGTACAAAATGCCTACAGCCACGCCGTCACGCCGTGTCCGTGGCAAATGGTCCAAGGGAGGATCCAACCTTGGCTCAGGTGCACTGCTTAAGCTCCGAGGGCGGGAGGATTTGGTGACCCCGCACTTCTGCTTCTGCGGTATGTCTCAAGCATTTGTCCGAAATCCCGTTGGAGTTGCGTAGGACGCGTACATTGAAATAGCATTCAGGCATGATACGGCAGTCATGGGCCAGCTGAATGGATTGCAATTTCGCGCGCAAATATCCACCACATGCAAATTTCCAGCTGAGTTGCAATGAATGGCAAAAGGAGCAGCAGCCATGGGAGAAGCAGCCACCTGACCGCCAAAGCAGGAAGACTCCAGGTGGGAACATACTGAACGTACAGCAGCGTGCTCGTGACGCTTCTAGAATCCTTACATAGCACGGAATTGGCTCTGACAAGCTGGAGTAGCGATGCAGGCAAATCATGGAGAACTCCTTGCCTCATGGGATGGCCCTTTGGGAGGAGGATGCTTTTGGAGTTCTGCAGGCTTTCCGCTGCGCTGGGATGCACCTGCAGTTTGAGGCCAAGCTGTGGAGGACCAGGTTTGGAACGACGCGTCCCGGTACACGCATAAGGACACCAGCTTGTTCTCATTGAGTACCAGCGCGAAGGGCTGTTATGTAACAGGGGGCAGCACGTGCGCGTGCGTTTGGCAGCGCGCATCCATGCCAGATAAAGCAAGACGTGATGTATCTTGATAACAATTTCAAAGGTGCCAGCAAAGAGTGCTGGCAAACAATTCTTCAAGACATCATGGATTATTTGATTGCCTGGAGGGGACCTCCCAGGCAGGATCGGCGTCTCATCACAAGACGCACAGCATGCGAAAGCCCATCAGTTGGAGCGCCACACATGAATACCTGAAGACCCGGAGGGGTCTCTAAGGTTCCTCCGGCAGCGGCACGGTGTTGATCCGTTGATACCTCGGCTTCAATTCCAGTTGCCGTCAACCTTTGCATGACGAGATGCCTAGAAGCCTACCGCCGAAAGTCCCAAACTCAAACCAGCCAACAAGGGCGTTTCTAAGACCGACTGAAAGGAGCACAGATGGTGCAGCTGTGCTCGTGCTAAGCTTCTGCCTTACCCTGCAAGCTGCTACAACATCCCTCGTGCAACATGTGCAACAAAGCGGCCGAAGCGAAGTTGAACCTAAAGGCTCAGATGTAGAGCCCAATCCTCAGTGGCAGACCCAGCTCACTTGGCGCAGGGTCCGCTGGCTCACAATCTTAAAGCATCTTAAAAAACTCGTGTTGAAGTGGCATGTGCAGCTTCGTAAACTCTCTTTCGTCAAACCTGTGCATGCTGCGGTGCATTCTCACAACCATTTCCTCCGAAAGTCTGTCTCTGGCATATCTAATCATTGTGGATGCTGGCTCCTCAGCTTGGCGCATGTGCTTTTCACAAAGTCTAAACTCTCAACGTAATAGTGCACCTACCCACTCCTCTGATAAATGCCGAGGCTCCAGGAATTCATTGACCAAAGGTGCTTCCTGAAAGAAGATCGCAGACCGACATTGCTGCATCAACACCAACTGAACCCGTTTCACTTCTTCATCTGTGGGCCTTGTGCATATGCACTTTAAGAGGGAAGTGTTGCTCAGAGATTTCGCTGCGGTCGTCCTGCGAGCATGCAAGCACAGCTGCACCCCCCCAGAGGTGGTTGCTAGAATCAATTCGCTGCTGCTGCCAGTAGTGCCCAAGCAATGGTGACTCAAAGTAAGGCCCTGCAAGCATGCTTCATTCTTAGCAACCTTGCTTGCACGGTCCCAATGGCGGACCAGGAAGGAGCTGAAGGAAGCACGCCCAAGCTGCAGCAGCTTGTTATTGCAGTCTCTGATTGTGAAGTCTCGACCTCAAGCCATCATTTGTCCCAGTTGACGAGGTGAGTCAAGTCTTGTGTCCAGGGGAGAAAAGAACAAACCCTAAGCTTGAGCTCCATGGGGCCCATACTGGGCCCATTGTTATGACACAGAGGAATTAAGAGAACGTCACGATGCACATCCCAGTTGCCCTCCCTTTGCGGGTCCAATTGATGGGATCGCAGAATCTGAGTGACCTCTGTCTTGGCATCCTGCACTTGGCCACGGGCAACTGTGGGCTCAACCTATTCTGCGGGACAACTGGAGCTGCTACAACACGTGCAACAAGCAGGTAAGAGACCTTCCATCCAGGATCCCAAGAAATCTGGACGGTCTCGTCAGCTTCTGCATGCTCCTGGTGCCAATTCTGCTTGCTGAGACTAGCAGCGGCAAGCGACAGGGACTCTCAAGCATGCTTGAAAAAGGCAAAGCACCCTGGACCGCCTGCTCGTGCTTCTGGATCACGCCAACCAGAAGAAGCGTTAGGAGTGCCAGGCATCCAACATTCAGAATGATCCTGGCGCTCACTCCGAACTTCTAGCAGTCATAACGAAGCTGAATGGCGCACCATCTCATCACATGCACTATCATATGCTACATGTTTCCGGGACGAGCGTCAGTGCCAGGTGAGTGGCTTGGGATCGCTTTGGGCTTGTCAGATCTGTTGCCTCGGCACATCGCAATGCAAGAGCACAGCAAGTGGAGTCAGTGGAGCGGCAATGCATGTGGCCTGCAAACATGACAGATCATGACAGACAGAGGAAGAGCATGCAAGCTAGGAAGGACAGTGCCCTTGCAGCGCAGTTCGCCTGTGCCGTGCTGAAGGTCCAAAAGGCCACTGGCACAGCTGAGCCTATGGCAAATGTTTTTTCGGCAAGGGTCAGAAAAAAGAGAGAAAACAAACCAGCTCGACGATTGCACAAATGAGGGACCATGATTGAGATGATCCCGATGCTTCTTTTTTGTTTGAAAATTCCGTGCTCGAATATCATTCCAAATCAGTGGCATGCATCCCTGCCTAGACATCCGATGGCATATTCATGTACCGCCTTGGAGGGCAGTTCAGGTGCAAAGGCCAATGTGTTGGAAGCCACCAGAATTGCTATTTTGAAGCAGGGCCGCAAGGGATGTCATCGCGCAAGCGTAATCAAAGACTTCAGCAGGCAGAATAGGCAGGCTCCGTGCCATGAACACGATCTTCACCCCTGAGATGCCAGGCTTGAGGTTACAGACAGCTTGAGGCACAAGTTGCATGGCAAAAGACTGAATGCCTGATCCGGCAGTCTTTCCCCCTTGTCTGCATTTGAGATGCCTGCGCTGTCAATGATGCCTCAGCATTAACAGCCCATGAGGCAGATTACAAAATGTCCCTGATAGACCAGTATGGCAAAGCCCTGCTAGCAAGCTCAAGGTTTGACTTGAGCTTTGCTGCATCTCTGGTTGTGGCAAGCGGCGGTTCAGCCTGCGCAGCATGCGGCTGTGCTTGCCTTGGCCAGAAGTGGGCATGCCCGCCACCATCGAATGGAGTGTTTCTACGCACGGGAACCAAAAAAGCTACTCAGAAACCATCAATGGATATCGCCTTGCCAGCATGAAAAAAAGCTGTCGCCAATCCTGCTGCGTCAGAAGCAGAACAGCATACAAGCTGCTGGCTTTCCGCGCATAATCTTGTAGCAGCGTCTTGCCAAGAGCAAAGGCAAGAACACCTCAGCGCCCAAAGTTACCATGCATGGATTGCCTCAACCAAAGCACACACACTCTTCACAGGATCAATGAAGCTCAGAATGTGACTTCCAAACCAAAGTCCGCTGAAGACTACACCAAAAGCGATGGCTCCACCCGTGAAGGCCTAGCGTTGCAAAGGAGATGCAACTGGGATTCGCCAATGTTTTTTGCACTGCCCATGTCATGTGAATAATAGCTTTGGCTTGGGCAGGTCCCCTATCAGCCTCTCCATCATGCAGCTTGGTAAAAAGCGGGCCAGAAAGCGCCATCACTGGGAAGACCGGCAGCATGATGACCTGAGAGTTTATTGCTTTGAATACCTCTGAATCACTGTATCTAGGAGGAATCCAGGAGCTCATGACTGAGACCAGCACCGGCAGAACTGAGGAGACCAGGAAGAGGATCAGTGCTGACCACATGCCTATCGTCCGACACCAATTGACCAAACCTGAAGCAGTCGATGCTAGCGAGGATCAGGATGCGTGAGAAGTCTTTGTACCCCTTGCGCATGTATGGGCTGCCATGCTACGCGAGATAAGTCGACAAAGCCGATGATGATCGAGAATTCCGTACCTCCAGCAGCGAAGAACTCTCTTTTAAAGGGGTCAAGCTGCCTAGCACGTCAAGCCCAAGATGGTCCAAAGTCTTCCAAGGAGCAGGAAAAATGCCACGATGAGGCAAACGCCAACCAACAACCTGATGGCGAATGGGAAAAACACCCGAAGCTTCTGGACTTGTGTAACGATTTGTCAAGCCTGACGTTCAGTTGGCTGCTCTCCAGCACCCTGATCTTCGAGAAGTCCTGCACATGACGCCGTCGTCACATGTGAGCAAGAGATTCTTCGTAGGAGTCTCGTGGAAGTATCAAAGCATGCCTATCAATCGCACGTGTTCCCTGAACAGATCCCTGAACCCAGGACACCTCCCGCAATAATGTCTCATCTGCCGGGCTTTCTCGAGGGAGCAGCGTCACGACAAGAGAGTGGTGCCTCCCTTCAGCGTCGTCCACCACGTCCTGGGTTCCACGCAACTTATGGGAAATCTGTTATCTACAATGGACCTTGCATCATCACTGCTGCCGCAAGGCCTTGATGACCCCAGGGGTCTTCCGCAGGTAGCCGCGGAAAGGCTGAATCAACTCAACCTCACTGCCTGGAAAACACCAGCAGGCAGCCACGCAAGTCCCATACCTCCGCAGCCTCTGAAGTTGGATAACCTTGCAGAACCTACAGCCTGCCGTACATGCCACATGTTCCCTGCCTGCTTTGAATCTGGCGCCTTTGGCGTAGCAGGTCTCAGCTGGCATCGCCACGCATGGGGGAAAGGTCTTATTGCCATTCGCATCTTCAAACCCCAAACCTCACAAGTGGGTAGCCATGACACTGGCCAAGGGATCGCAATCCAACTGCCATTGAATGCAATCCATGCATTTGCCATGAAGACCAAGCTCCGCAAAGCTCGCTAAGATTCTTCTGGCGCTGCTTCTGTCTCCCCACTGATCTGGCTCTAGGGCAGCAGAAATATTCTGTTTGACCTACTGCCGGCGTTTCATGATGGATGCTGCAGTTGCGCGCGAGCACACGTGCGCGCGAGTGGCCTAGCTCAAACTGGATGCATAACGGTGGCACTCAAGCTCGGGACGCTGCTGGAATTAATCATCACTCTTCTTCTTATGGTTAGCGTTCGCATGTGTAATGCATACGCAGCTCCAAAGAGGTTGTGGTTCCCTTGCATTGTAGGGCAACTGGAAGTTTGGGCTTAGCTCATTAACCTTGCACAAAACCACTTCACCGAAGCAGGGATGAAAGACCCGAAGACAAAATCTCCAAGAAAGTGCGCAGATTGTCACACAGGCCATCTAGTGCGCATGCTGCTCCTGAAGCTTTCAGTAGCTTCAGAGTCTAGGTGCCGGCAGTAAGTGGCGTTAAGCACCTGGCCTGGCAAACGTCCCAAACACATCGTTCACAGGACCAGAACAGCTCACCAGAAAGGATCTTCCGCCTGCAGAAGTCACAGACCTCGGACCACAGCTCAGGTGTACAGATTTAGAAGCCACCCTGGCATATCCTAGCATGTTCTTGTCATGGGCCGCTGCCTACGAACCATACACCAGCGCGCTGCATGACAAAAGAACCAAGGCGCGAATCTGTGGCTCTTCTTTGCTTCCATCTGATGCAGCATGTGGTTATGGAGGCATCTGCGGTCGGTCTCTTCTCCTATGCCGACCTTACGAGTCTGCGTAGCAAGGCGTCCATACTCTCTAGCTGCTTGCGATCATGCATGACAAGCAACAAGTTCATAGGAGTTCTGAAAAGAAGTCCATGAGCGGAAGCCTGCAACTGCACTGCAGGTTTCCAGCATAAGACGACGGGACTCCCAAACTGAACCAACAAACCAACAGACATCCACAGGCTGACAGGAGGGCTGACAGCCTCGCTTGGTGCGGACGACACCGCCTTCGCTGATTTGACTACTTTTGCTCACCTTGGCATGAACTTGAACACTGATCCACAAATTCCTTGCGAAACATTGCCACATTCACAAGGCATCACAAGGCCCACCACTATTTGGGGCCTTTGTTACCCGAATAACCAGACAGGTAGTTAAACCGTCGTGAACTGAGCATATTAATCCATGTCCGCGTGGCCGTCCTCTCGAAGCCTAAACTGTCCAGTGTTCCACTGCGAGCCTGAGCAACTGGTGGTTCGACCCCTGCAAGTTCCCTAGGCGGAAGGAATCCTGCTTTGAAGGCTGCCTGCTGGCCTTCTGAAACCCCACTTGCCTTCTCGAAGAGCAGGCGCTCTGTGTGCTCGGAATGCGTGGGCTCATCAGCATCCATCGCTTCGGCTTGCTGATTGTAACAGATGAGATGTCGAACTGCTGCGAAAGTGCGAGCTTATGTCGAGGTCTCCCTCTCAAGATTGCGCATGTGTTTCGTAACATGTGTTGATGGATTCAGTTTAGCTAGGGCGTCATCCATTGCTGGTTTTTTGACACAACACGGAACACTCAGCATGGACCATGGAAGAGCAGTTTCACTGCGGGCCAGCTGATGAACCTGCGAAGAGCCTCTCATTCCCTGTGGTTGACACACGGAATGCAAACAAAATGCATAGCAGAAGTGTGAACGCCTGGCAGATGAGCAGGACTGCGTGGGTGGGCCCAATGTGCTGCTGGGAACCAAGCTCAGCCTGCACAGCGCATTACCCAGAAAAGTTGGAGAAAAAACGCGTGCAAGCCAGGGCCAGGCAGGTTCCCTGTTCTGCTTGCCATGAATGTTGCGAATCTCGTGCAAGTCTCGTGCATACACTAGGCTGTGCATCTCTGCTGCTTGTGCTGTGATGTGCTGTTTTCGTTGTCTTGCATCTCATGGCTGCTCTTCTGCTCTTTTGGCCTCCACCCTGATGACCGCCACCTGCCACGCGAGACTCGCGAGAGCACACCGATGCTTTTACGAAGACCATTCTCATCCGCCACTGAAGATGGACTCTTTGGAGCTGTACAAATTCTGATGCAAGCCTTTTGCACACTCATATCTTGCAGGCCGAATCTTCTGTTAGCAGCTAGGAACGGCTAGTAGCTAGCAGAGGAATGATTCGCTTGAACGGCTGCTTCCAGCAACATCCGGTGTGGCAGAGGAACGTCGGAGGAAGTTCGAAGAGTTCAGGCTCTCAAGTCGAGCAGCTGTCCTACAAAGGAAGACTTGATGATGCCCACCTTGCAGGCATCGGGCGTAACATGGTCAGGCAGCTCGATGACTGTGTGAATCCCTGGCTGCACTCACGTGTCACTGACTGTCACAGGGTGCCCCACTCTAGCTTCTAAGCAGCAAAAGGATCTCACACTGCGGGCCGTTCCAGTTGGCGTCATCCCTGGAAGTCCCGTCAACGCTTACGCACACACACCGTCGAGCCTTGCACAGTCACGTTTGCTATCCTCGGATTGCAAGTGGAGTCATCAGCAATCATCAGCCCAATCATGTTGCTTGTCAAGCATCTTGATCGCTGTCCAAATCAAATGAAACAGGATTGCCAGCAGTAGCAGTCAAGAAAGGAAGCAACAGCAGAATGCTGGTAATTGCCAGCAACCAAGCGAGCCGCAGCGCAAGCAGCAACCGATCATGCCAATGCTAGAAGTAGTTTTATCAAGGAACCGAAACGGCTCTCCGACTACGGTGACGTGTATTCGCGGCGGGCCGGTCAGCAGCGTCTCAGTCCCATAACCTCGATCAAACATAAAACCAGATCAACATCTGCTGCTGAGTTGGGAGCCATCTCCTGCTTAGCCATCTCCTGCTTGACCAAGGTGCTGTACTCCAGCTGGCTCTCGTTCTGATTCATCCAGCCGGCCTCAGCGCAACAATCATGACCATGCTGACATCCGTGATGGGCCGTGTGAGCAAGAGTCCACATCTTGGTCAATCGGGATGTACAGTTTGGAGATCTGAAAGGGCATAGGAGCCGAGGAAACTGGAACCTGAAGTGAGGATGTTCATGGCATGCCAGTAAGAAAGCTTGGCAGGCAGTGCTGGGTGCCTGCAGCTCTACGAAGTCCACTTCCAGGACTGGAGGCTCCGACTCCTCTTCACGAGCCTGAAGCCCAAAACTGCGCAAACATGCAAAATGCCGGGCGCCGACTTCTGGCCTTCGCGCCCCAACCCAGAAATGCGCATGGGGCCATGGCAACGAACAGTGCCAGCCCCGCTGGCCTGAAGGTCATCAGTCATCAGATTCGTCTTATCCCGTGGACTTGAAGCCATGTGAGTTTTGGTTTTTATTCTTT